CGGCCCGCGCCAGGCGCTGCCCGCGCAGGTCGTCGGCATGGGTAAGTGCTCCGCGCCGCGCTCCCCATCCCCACCGCCCCCCGAAAGAGACAGAGGGAGGGAGGGAAAACTCAGGGAAACATCACTTCCTTCTAGAGTTGGGGGGAAAACCCCTCCCAGAAYGGGATGTTCAGAACTTTGGGATACTCAACATGGGATATTCAGTGTTTCCTGTGCAAGCAGGAGTGGGTGTAAAACATAATTTTGAAAGCGTGTGATGATGTGAGCAATTTTCTCAAGCCACATAGTAATGTGGCCTAAGAAAGCGGATATAAAGTTGCTCTTGTTCAGAGCTCAGGGTGTTTTTAGGAGGAGGAAATACCATGAGTTCTCCCACTGTGCTTGGTCAGTACCTTACGTATTGACAACTACAAGSAAATTAGTTACAGTGTCAACTTTTATCTATGCTTAATGCTTTATGTCCTGCAACAACTTCCTGTTAGCTTTCTCATGTGCAGGCTCCTGTCTGCTCTCTTACAGTTTTGATCCATTTTCCAAGTTCTCTTGACATTCATTCCCATTCTGAAAGCATTTTTGTCAATAATTTCACGATGCTTTTGAAGCGCKAAATGAAGAAACCCCCAGGTTCTCGTTTGCCTTTACCGTACGGTAGACAACTCAGTGAATTCCCATCAAAGCAGGTGTTGCTCACGGATGCCACGTGCTCCTCTCCCCTCGAGCAGGGCCATCCGAGCTGGAGATGAACCTGGGAGGGCCGCAGTACAGCCAGCAGCAGGCTCCCCCCAACCAGACTGCGCCGTGGCCGGACAGCATCCTGCCCATCGAACAGGCGAGCTTCGCTGCCCAGAACAGGTGAGTGCTGCAGCCCGGGCCAAGTGCTCAGCAAACCCAGGGCAATTCCAGGCCTGTGGTATTTTTTGCCTCTCAAATACATGGTCCAGTAACACTTAGAATTGCTTTCTTTGACAGTCGCTGTGTTGGGAGAATTCAAAGTTTGGTGTCACAGTAAACGCTGCCACTGCTTCAGCTTAGTTGTATTGTGTGGTTTTTTATCTCCCAAGCATTACTGCAGCTGTGATCCTGACTCATTTTGCTGTTCTTGCCATTACCAATCATGTCATAGAAAATACTTAGGATTAAAAGCAGAGAGATACTGGAGCTTCTGTAGTTACAACACAGCATTCACTGTGGCACGTCCTGCTATTGGAAATACAGGATATCATTAACATCTGCCTTGCTTGGGGTTTTAATTGAGTTCTGTAAGGCTAGGGGGGAAAAATGAAGTGAAAGCCAGACTGCCTCTTCCCTGAGGTGAGATTTGTTCAGTCTCAGGTAACCAAACCCCCAATTTGATTTGGTAGTTTTGGTGGTTGACATACCTTTAGATAACTCTGTAACTGCCMAAAGCATTTTACAGTTGGCGAAAAGATCCGAGGCCCCACCAAAATAATTGCAGCTTTAATTTAGGAGACTTGGGTTGGAGAGATGATACAGGAAGATGAGTCAAAAGGGGAAACGTTGAAATATTCTAAATTTTACTACCAATTGGTCTTCTACGCTGAAATGTTTTTCCAGTACTGGATGGGAGGTGCMGTGAGTCGAAAAACAGAGAGGAAGCAATTGGAAAAAAAGTGTCCCTGAAGAAAGATCTATCTGTTGTAATGTGGAGTTATTCAGCTAAAGAACTGCACCTAACATAAAAAGCAAGGCCATTTTGTCTGGCCGTGCAAACTGGGCAGATAATTATTCAGTGTCGTTGCCTTTGCATTTCTCAAAATTTGCGCATAGCTGGAGATGTTGAAAAAATTTCTCCTTGCTTTGTTTTCTGAAAAAAAGAAAAGCAGCCGAACAGAAGTGATGAGGCGCTTGGTGCTGTCGTTTCTACATGACTAATTCCTGATGCTTATGTTTTCATAACCAGGTTATCGTCATGACTCCTCAGTCTTAGCGTCTGTTCCACAGCTAAATTGTGAATAAAGTACATTTTTTAGAGAAAAAAAATAAGCATATCTTCTGAAAATACTGAAATATTAAAATATTTAAAAATATATATTTTTAAAAGTACTTGTAGTTGCTTAACATGCAGAACTTGCCGTGTGGTTTTTACGTTTCTTTTTTAAGTTATGTATTCATACCCATTTACTTCCAAAAATTTGGAAGTTTTTTTCTAGCCCAGTACTACTTCTACCACTTTCCTAGGTCGTAGGGCCCTTCTTATAAGAAGTCCCCCTCAAGAATGCCATCACTGAGAGAAAGATCTTCTTTTATTTCTCCACCTCTGTGACCGCAGCAGAAATTTYTCTATGTGTGACTGATTCATTTATATTTCTGAAGTGTGTGAAAGACACATTGTATATACGGAGGACTTGTTTTGAGCTCCATGATAGCATTCTTAATTTAACTTCTATAATTCAAAGGTAAGAGTTAGTTTAAAAATATATATCTCTTTCCTTAGGCTGTGTTCTGTATTGTGTTCTCACAGGCAACCCTTTGGCAGCTCTCCGGATGAGCTGCTGTGCAATCATCCTTCCTCGGAGTCCCCAAGCGACGAGGGCGCCCTCCTGGATCAGCTCTACATGGCCCTGAGGAATTTCGATGGTCTCGAGGAGATTGACAGGGCCCTAGGAATACCCGAACTGGTTAGCCAGGTACGCTGCGTGCTGCCCTGCCTGCTGGGAGCTGCTTTTAAAGGATGCCTTGTCCAGAGAGAGGTAAAAAGGGTGTTGCAGAAGGGAGAGGAGGTTTTAAAGTTGCCCTCGAATGTACAGTATAAAACCCACTGCTGGCAAGCTAACGTGATGTTAAGGGACTGTGGTTTGAGTCCACTTCGCAGCTCAGCGTGTGGGTGGAAGGTAGGATCACGGTTAGCAGCAGGAACAGGAAAGAGCAAAGCAGAACACGAGCACCTCTGGGCCAGGGAGACCCTTGTGGAGGGGTAGCAGCAAACTTTTGGGTGAGCAAAATTGCAACATGTAGCCTCCCTCTTAGTGAGGCCTTGAAACACAGAGGTGTTCTGCTACCTTTTAATCTTTTTTTTTCCCTAGCTTTTTTTTTTTTTTTTTAGTTTTTCTTGCCCTATTTGGTCTTAAAGGATGCAAACTAAAGCAGTAAAACATAAAGTTTAATTTACTGTATTTCTACTATATTTCTGAAAGAGCCACATTTGCCTCTTTAATGATTAAATACCCTGAGATGATCTTGTCACCTAGAATACCCATTTCGTTACCCAGCTTCTTTCATCAGCATCCTGGGAATATCTTCTGAAATAGTTGTGCATTTTAGACACTTCTTCTGTGTCTTCTGATCTGCAGACCATCTGTAACTATGAAATAGGGCTAATGAAATCCTGTTTGTCCATGAGAAAAAGATAACCCGGAGTGCTTGATGTAACACACAGCATAGTGCAGTGTTACGCTGGAGATAATTTAGTGGTGACCTTCAATTCTGTGATGTGAAACTTTCATACAATAGTGCATGGCTTGTGGAATGCCACCACCAAAATAGGATGTAGACTGTTTTATTTGAACGTAAATGGCCCATACATTTCTGTTCAGTAAATATCTCATTGCAAACTGTCAAAGTATTTCCCAGATAAGAAAAATGCCACATTTTAGAGCATGGATTTAAAAGTATCTATCCATCCAGTATTTTATAGGCATTTGAAGTTTGCTTCCATGAGGACACTGAAATTCAGATTGACTTGATTTCCAAGGTCTGTGTGGAATAAGCTCTGCAATTATTGTGAGTGGAGGGGAAGGGAAATTTTTAGAATAGAGTTCAGAACAGTGTTCGCTATTGCAAGCTAGCCACTAATCAGTTTGTGTGAGAAGGCCCTGAAGGAATTAGCTTAGGAATCCACCTCAGCTTCTTTAGTAGTTCCAGGCGTATTCATTTCAAGTCACTCTTTAGTTTAATAACACTTAAATACACTTCTACCCTCGTTCGTTGGTGATGCCTTTAAGCATTCAATGGCAAAACCGGGGCGACCTGGCATGTAATTTGGATGTGATTGGGGTGTATGTGTGTGTGTGTGTGTGTGTGGAGCGCTGTGGCGAGTGGCGCCTCCAACTCGCCGTGTTCCCGCAGAGCCAGGCGGCGGATGCAGAGCCCTTCTCCGGCGCCGACTCCGGCCTGCTCCTGGAGCAGAAGGCGCCCGTGTTCCCGCAGCCGTACGCGCCGGCGGCGCCGCTGGCGCAGGGCGCCTACGCAGCCCTGCAGGAGCCCGCCTTCCACGCCATGGCGCAGCGGCCCGGCTACGCGGCACTGCGCGTGCAGCCCCGCGCCGCGCTGCGCCCCGCCGGCATCGTGCAGAGCCAGCCCAACCAGCTGCGGCTCCAGCTCCAGCACAGGCTCCAGGCGCAGCAGGTAGGGCCGCCCGGGCCGCGCCGCACAGCCCCTTGCCTCTCCTCTCGTGCTCCTTTTCCTCCGCCTTTCATTATTCACAGAATCACAGAATGGTTAAGGTTAGAAGGGACCTTTAGAGATGATCCAGTCCAACCCCTGTTCGAATAGGGACACCCAGAGCACGTGGCACAGGGCGGCATCCAGGGGGATTTGGAAGATCTCCAGAGAAGGAGACTCCACAACCTCCTTGGGCAGCCTGTGCCAGGGCTCTGTCACCCTCACAGGGAAGTTCTTCCTCACATGGAGAGGGAGCTACCTGTGTTGCAGCTCATACCCACTGCCCCTTGTCCTGTCACTGGCCACCACTGAGAAGAGCTTGGCCCCTTCCTCCCTACRTTCCCCCTTCATGTACTTATTCATMTTAATCTACAGTTATGATTGTTACATCACATGTAATGCTTGCAATTAAAGTATTCAAGTAACGCTGAATTCRGAGAGGCCGCAGCAGTGCCTGTCGTTGTACAGGCCCTTTCTTCTTACTCCTGTCTTGCCTCTTTCTGCAAGCTACGCGCTTTGTTCCTGGCTGTTACCTATATCCTTTCTCTCACCTGGATCTGCGGTTGAAGATCATTTTAAAATGTTGCTCCCTGTTATGTTCTTAAACAAAAACGTACAAGTCTGTAAAAATTATAGAGTCTAGCTCAAAGTCCAGTTCAGAGTCCTCAACAGTCCAAACCTAAATCCAAAAAAAAAAAAAAAAATTTTAAAGTGGACTCTTTGGAGAACAGCTTAGTGTCAGCGTTGTTATTTGGGCATTGTCTCCTTAAAAAGTGGGATTCTGTGAATGAGGACAGGGTTTGAGCAAGAGAGATACACTAATCCTGACTCCATAAAAGCAAGTCCTCAAACCTAGTGGGGAGTTGGAAGAAGATGCATACACCTAGGTATATAAAATCTCCCCCATTTTGTTTTTCTTTCTGTCAACTCTTTGGCCAATTTTTCTTTTCTTTAGAATCGGCAGCCACTGATGAATCAGATCAGCAGTGTCTCCAATATGAATCTGTCTTTGAGACCTGGAGTGCCAACTCAGGTGAGGGAAATGATTTTAGAAAATAACCGTTTATTTTCCTGTTTCTCCCCTATATTAATCTAAATGGAGATTTAACATAGAGATTACAAATGCTGTATTGTGAACACATATAAAAATCATAAAAAGCAGTTCCTAAAACAACTAAAGCGGCCTAAAGGCTAACAAAGCATTTGGTTGTTTTAGAGTCTTTCCATATTTATGTGAGGCAGATGCCTGTTTTCTAGGAACGTGGYGTAACTGCACAATCTTTCATTTCCTCGAGATATTTTTGGTGGGCTGCTCTGTTTCTGGTTCCTGTGGCTGCAGGCACTAGAATTGCACAAGCTGCAGYGCCCTCGCAGGTGCCAGTCACAGAACCACAGAGTGGCTGAGGTTGGAAGGGACTCTGGAGAGATCTAGTCCAACCCCCTGCTCCAGCAGGGACACCTGAAGCACAAGGTGGCATGCAGGCGGGTTTGGAAGATCTCCAGAGAAGGAGACTCCACAGCCTCCCTGGGCAGCCTGTGCCAGGGCTCTGKCACCCTCWCAGTGAAGAGATTCTTCCTCACGTGGAGCAGGAGCTTCCCGTGTTTCCCTTTGCTCCCGCCGCCGGCGCTGCAGCCGGGCGAGGGCTGCTCCTGCCTCCCGCGGCGCCTCCTGCGGCCGGCGCGGGGGGCCTCACACGCCGCTTTCCCGCAGGGCCCCATCAACGCGCAGATGCTGGCGCAGCGGCAGCGCGAGATCCTCAGCCAGCACCTGCGGCAGCGGCAGATGCAGCAGCAGCAGCAGCAGCAGCAGCAGCAGCAGGTGCAGCAGCGCACGCTCATGATGCGAGGGCAGGGCCTGAGCATGACCCCCAGCATGGTGGCCGCCGGCGGCATCCCAGCGACCATGAGCAACCCGCGCATCCCGCAGCCCAACGCGCAGCAGTTCCCGTTTCCTCCCAGCTACGGTACTGGATTTACCCCCAGCGCCTCTCGGCAGGCACCCCCCCGGGCTGGGATAGGGCGGGAAGCGCGGGAGGATGGATAGGCCTTGTGCGCAGGCCCCGGGTTGGGTGCCGTGCCTCCTACTCCCCTTGCCACCGTTGGTCTGGGTGCCAAGAGCTCCAGGCTGCCTTGCCCTGGAGGTGCACRGCGGTCCCTTAGCAGCAGGCAGCAACTGCTGCAGAGCCGCCTGTCSCTAACTGTTATGTCAAAATTGCATCCAGTGTTACATCCAGTATCTCCATGTTCGACTGATACAGCTAATACAAATTCTGTTTCATCCGCTTCTAAATTTGCCACCTATTGTTTGATCAGTTTTCCTTTACGCCAGTTTCTAAATTGTAATATTCTGTACACAGATTTATTTACAAAAATTAATTTTTTTACAAATTAATTTTTTGCCAATTATGTGGATTTCCCTATTCTATTTCATAAAATGAGTTTAAGTAGTGCACACAGTAGATACAGAAATAGTTTTCACAGAACCTGCTTCTTACTCCAGTGTTGAGAGTGTCTGGTTTCTGTGTACCTGGGGCCACAGTGACTTGTACAGCTCTTGCACAAAACTGACATTTTAAAATCTGCCGAAAATTACAGGTTAAGTTGTTTACTTCCAGGTAATATTTGATTTTACAGAATTGCAAAATGCTCACGCAAAATGGCATAAACGTAAATGCTAAGGTTGTAGGAACTTTTAGAAAGAGCTGAATCTTAACATTAACAAACTGGCCTTAACATTAAAAGGTGGCATCATGTAGCGAACAGCTCATTTTGCATAACTTTCATACAAAATTGGATTTAGAGCCTGAAGCAAAAGGTTTTATCTGTTTGTTGTTTTAAATGGAGCTTACACACACAGAATGTCACTTATTGGTGTCTGTCCCCGTGGACCTGGGCAGCTGTTAGGGCGCACACCCGAGCTAAGCACTTTTGGGACGGGGTGCRTGTAGTGTTTGTTGATGCTGTGTTGCTTTTAATCTGGATCCCGCCTGGAGACCCAAGGCCTCGGGCTCCGCCCGGGACAGGCCTGCGGGTGTCAGCCCCGGCCTGGTGTCGGCCCGCGGCGCTGACCGTGTCGCTTGGTTCCGCAGGTATCAGTCAGCAGCCCGACGGCGGCTTCGCGGGGGCCACCACGCCGCAGAGCCCCCTCATGTCCCCGCGGCTGGCGCACACGCAGAGCCCCATGATCCAGCAGTCTCAGGCTAATCCTGCCTATCAGTCCTCTACGGAGATGAACGGGTGGGCGCAAGGGAATATGGGTGGAAACAGGTAAATCCAGGACAAAACCGGAATGAGCRTACGCGCAGCAACACATGTCATTTGTGGTCTGTACTTCTTCATTTATTGTCACGCGTGTTTGTTTGTTTGCTCTTAACTACCTGCTCCAAAGAGAGATTTCTTTTCGATTTGGCTTGACAAATTGGTGTAAATTCTGCCTTCATGCAAGGCCAAGTGAGTGCCTAGCTGAAAGACCTGCATCCACACAGTGCAGTGCTTCAGCCGTGGTAACTGGTGAAATGCTCCGTGCCCTTMCGAAGAAACCATGGCGAGCTCCAGCTCCCCCTGCTCGTGTGGATGCATCTCTCCTGCACATGGTTTTGTTGTTGCCTTGCCACGCTGCTTTCCCTGGGCCTGCACCAGCTGTAGCCTCTGCATCCTCTGCTGCTCTGAAGTTACCATGCCCGGGTGCAGCCTGGTGGGATGTGTTTGTGCTTGCAGCTCTTTGGGGTCAGCAGGTAGCTCTGCTGCTCTGATAGCCTTGTGGCCATGGGGCCCCTGGCATGCAGCCCCTTTCTGAGGGGACACTGCTGGCCCTGTTGGTGCAAACCCAGCAGTTCTTCTGTCCACGCCGACCGAGTTCATGTTGAACAGTGTTGGTGGGCAGCAGGGAGCTGCAGGGGACCCCGGTCTTGGAGCTGTCACYGTCCCTGGGGGCTGGGCTGTGCACAGATAGAGTCCTCCTGTCACCTCGAGGTTGTCAAGCCGCTCCTACCATCCCAGCTCAACGACAAATGTTCTTCCCACAGGTGGAAACCTGTTTAATATTAACCCCGAAAATAATACATCAGTGATGAGGTTGATCCAAGGGCAGTTCCCCTTAAAGTAGCCCATTTATCTCATCCTCCTCGTCCTTGTACCTGTCTCTTCCTCACTGTCCTCCTGAAGCCTCCTCAGGAGGCCACGAAGCTGCTGTTGTTGCAGCTTCTGCTGACGCTGCAGCAAGGGCAGCTCGGGAGGCCCGTGCTTGGCCTGCCAAGCTGCAGCTCTGCGCAGAGACACGTCCAAGGCTTTTACACAAGCCACTGGCTGCTCACAATGATCCGCAGTGTGCTGTTTCAGCCACCCAGATAACACCCTGAAAAGGGGCTTAGGTGGCCAGGGAAGAYGTGGAAGAGCACGAAGGGAATTGTGGGATTTTCAGAGTTTGCTCCTGTGCCCAGAGTGCGGCTGCATTCTGCTATCCACAGGGCACTCCGAAAGGAAAAAACCAGAGCAGACAGTGCGTGGCTGTAGCCTAACAGAGACACAAGCCCGAGGTTGAGCATTAACCACCGGCAGCACCCCCCGCTGCGGGAGCAGGGCTTCCTGGGGAAGTACAAGTCTCTCTCATGATTTTCAGCGTAATGGGAAGATAATCTCCAGCAGGCATAAGGCACTTGACTAAAATCTGGGCAGAGCTCTTCCACGGTTAGTTGTCCTTAAATTGCTTTGTGGAAGCCTTAGGAGGGTGAAGGATAATTAACTTGGACTATATGTTGTTTCTTAGAGTGCTACATTTTTAAAACATGATGCTTAAAATCAGTAAATAAATTTCTGCACAATTGCATGTCTCTATTTGTGAGCCCACTTGCCATAATTGTATGTGCAAATCTGGTATTCACATGTGCAAATAGCCTCTTTGGCCAAAAGGAAGCTTATGAAACCAGGCACAGTATCAACTCAGAAGTCCTGTGCTGTGATAATAATGGAGGGGGAAAAGGGTTGTGTTCCTTTCCATCCAAAAGTTACTTTCCTAAATATATGTACAGTTACATTCAGACAAGTAACTGGCTGTTATGCACGCACGTAGCAGATTTGTACCCTCTGCCATAGTGTCACCCACCAAGGCATGCGTTTCTGTGCACAGACATGGAACCTTAAATTTTGCAAGTCTGTTCCTTASTTGGTAACGTAGCTGAAAAACAGTCTTTAAGTCGGCGTAAAGAGCAAAATGTACCAATTCTAGCTTAAAGTATTTTACAAAGAGAGTGGTTTCTTACTGGCTTCAGCATTCTAAGTCTGACACATTGCTTTTTCCATTCCTTGCTGTAGCATGTTTTCACAACAGTCCCCACCACATTTTGGGCAGCAAGCAAGCACCAGCATGTACAATAATAACATGAACATCAGTGTGTCCATGGCAACCAACACAAGTGGTATGAACAACATGAACCAGATGACAGGGCAGATCAGCATGACCTCAGCGACCTCTGTGCCTACATCAGGGTTGTCCTCCATGGGTCCTGAGCAGGTGAGAACTGAAGGGCTTGAGATGACAGCTAGAGGGTTTGCTCTGACTTGGAGCTCTGCAGGTCAGGGGAGTTGGGCTGTTACTGCTTTAAGCCATTACRCTTCCTGTATCAAATCTCATGAGAAACTGTGATGTTACAAAGACTTTTCTTTTTGGCTTTGCATTCACATAGCTGAGGTGACCAATGAGGTAGAGCACCTTGGCACCCCGATTCCCCATCATAACCAAGTACCCCTGGRGCTAGCTCCTTTATGTACTCCTATCCTCCTTAACCAAGTTCTCCTTGGAAGGTGTCTGGTGACCTGGCTCTGGCCCTCGGTAGGTAAGTTTGGGCAGCTCAGYTGATGGCCCCCCGTGTTGCTGCTGATTCTCTCCATGGTGGAGGGTAGGTCTGACTGCCAGGCAGTTCCCTGGAGATAGGAGGGGAATATGCTGGCGTGGGTAGGGAGCGGAAGGTGCTTCTGCCACCACTGKTTTTGTAGTATACCAGGCAGTAGGCAGTCGACTGTGAGAACTATCAGACTAGCACCTTCACAAGCACAAAATGCACTTTTTGTGGTGTGATATGTATAAAATGCTGAATCCATAGCCATGTAGCCTGTTCCTTTTTGTTTGAGATTGTTACTTAGAGTATTCAGAAGCAGGAAAGTGACATTTTCCCCTTTTCAGTCCGTAATTAACCTCACAAATGCATCAGTATATATTTGACAGGAAAGTCCTCTTAGTTAACAGCTCTGTGTGGTTGTTTCAGAACTGAAGTTCACTGTGATTCAACACATCAACTTTATATTAGGGATGTTTCCATGACATTGCCAATCAAGTGCCTTGTGAATCCTCAGGATCTCCTGCAGTTGTGGCCAGTAGGGTCATAAGACCCTCCTTTGAGATGATAAGGTTGCAGTTTAAAGCTGGTTGTATTAATTGGTTTGTTAACAAATGTCTCCCAGCTTAAGAAGCTGGAAGTATTTCAGCTGTCAGTATTTCTGACAATATTATCTTTTAGCTTAAATATCTCTCCCTGTATTTTAAAGAAGGGCTTTATATTAACTTTTTTGATTAGTTTTCTTTAGCTTTGGGGTTATTGGGATGATCTGGTTTGGGTTTCTTTTCCTTTTTTCTTTTTTGCTTTTGCTTTTTTTCTGAGTTAAACAAGCCACGCTGCTTCAATCTCTTCACATTCCTTTTCCTTTTCTGCACCTGTTCCAGTTGGAGTCAGTATTTCCTAAGCTGCAGTGCCATGTGCATAACACTAATTATTCCTAATTTCCCTGGGAATACACTTACTCATATAGCCCCAGCTCACACGTGTCTTTCACAGCTGCTGCATACTGGGCACTTGAAGTGGTTCTGAGACTCCCAAATCCGTCACCTCCTGGGATCTTTCCAGTTGCCAAGCCCAACTATAGCAGACTTAGTTCCTAAGTGCATGCTGTTGCATATTTTTAATAGATTAAAGCACTAGCTAAAGCAAAGAAGAAAAGAGAAGGGACTTGAAGGTGAGAGCCCATCTGAATGCTTAAAAGGTACACATACTGCACTATGATTTCCCCCGAGAAACTGAATTAAGAAATACACATTATAGAATAGATACATTTTTATTTCAAAGACTCCCGTTATCTTTGCAGATAATTTCTTCCCCAGGCACTCTAGTTGCACTGGTTTTCCCTCCTGTTGAGCTATTAGGTCTTGTTTCAAGGCAGCATCCATCTAGCCTCCAGGAAGCTGGTTAGATTGAGTTTCTGCATCCATCTCAACATTTGTTTGCCAGACCTTCAGTTCCCTTTTTGTGGATCTACTTAAAGCTCCCTTCATTACTGCAAAACCCTYCTGGAAGTCTGAGCAAGGGGACTGGACACAGTGCTGCAACAGCCATTGCACCAGTGCTGTGCGGAGGTCCCAAGTGCTTTACCTCTTATGTCTGGATTAAGCAGCTTTCCTTAGATTGAGCCTGTTTAGCTAAGGAGCTGTGCCCCAGTCTCTAGCAGTAACCAGTTTTCCTCCTGATATTGCCACCCCTGCACCGTGTCACCAGCTTTTCATGCACTTCGGGGCTCAGACCTCGTCTCGTTGCCGTCATCTCCGCTACAAGTCCCCCCAGGGGGCTCGAGGCTGCCCTGTTTTTTAGGAAGCTGCTGTGAGGAAGGGCAAAACCGGCCTGCAGGGCTCCTGTGCGGCCCCTTCGCCGCATTGCTGACACTCAACTGCTCCTCTCCCTGCCCTCCCCTTGTTGGTGGCACCCTTGGGCTATTCCCTGCTTTSCGCCTGTTAGTTTCTTGGCATCGTGGACACATGTTATTTCCTGTTACTTCTCTGTGAGAGAAGCAGTTTGAGACCTTTGTGGCAGGAGAGACTTTTCAGTCTATGAAATAAATCACCGTCTAGATGTCTCCTGAGAGACATTATGTTTCATAATCTGCCTGTTTGCAAGGTCAAAACTCACTGGCATTCACTAAGAATCACCTTAAAACCAGGATTTTGAAAAAGCACTAGGTCTGTTCTGCGTGTTGGATGCAAGGAGCTGAGGAGTCGCACGAGACTTTTCTTTCCAGGCACATTCCACATAATTCTGCTCTACTGGCAGTAGCAGGCAGAGTTTAATTGCAAAAGGGTTGTAAAACATGTCCCGTCTTGTTTGAGTTGGATTTGATAACTAATAACACCACTTAACTTGCCTTCTTACAAAGTCATCTGTAAAAAAATCTCTTATTTCAGAAAAAGCTTTGGAAAACTAAGCTGCCTTAAATTTTTTTTGATATTTTTCTTACTTTTCTTTCTTACTAAGTTGTTGTTGCAGTCGGAAACATCTTGTGTTAGTGTTGATTGTTGCATCCTTCTCAGTCTTCCCAGGTGAATTTAATCCCACAAATTCAAACCTGCTGTTTTGTTCTATCTCTTACCAAGCAAGTCAGGGCTCTTGCGATGTCACTGGCAAAGGGATCTGCACCTGGAGTGGGACCGATGCYTTTGCTGCTGAAGCCCCCTCCTTTTCCATGGCTCTCCTAACTCTGCCCCTGCCCTTTCTGTTGCAAATCTGTTTTTTATTCAGTAAAAAATCTGGGGTTTATTCAGTTTTATTCAGATTTTGCATTTTTGGTTTTTGTTTTTCCCTTCCTTTCTCCACTGAACAAACCAGTGTAGATGTGTTGCYTCTTGCAGCAAGTCTTCTGATGGGTGTTGATAAACAGCAGAAAACCTTTTTCAAACGTTTTTTTTTCTCAACCCAACGCGTATGGAGACGGCTGTGAAGCTTTCTGCTCTCCTCCTAACCAAACAGAACAGTGTGCTTCTCTACCTTTTTTTTCTTATTTAAGTTTCCAGATTAGGGTTTTAAAAAAACGTGCCCATTTGTCCTTAAGAAGTGCAGGGCATCACTAGGAGGATCTCAGGKTTTGAACGATTAGTTGCTTCCGAGTTGAAAGTTGTGAAGCAAAAACCCTTCAGTTCCCCAGTTTTCCTGCCGAGCTTCATTCTCCTCTCCATCAGCATCGGAGAGACCACCTTTTAGCCATCCTAGTGCATGCGGTTTCACAGCTCCTTGCAAAATCCCTGCATAGCAGCCGCGACGGGACCCTCAGGAGTGCTAGAGACACGAAGGAAGTTCAAGGCTGCTCTCCCCTCTCTGCAGCAGGTGGTTCCAGCTGGAACAAGGCAGGGCAGCGGCAGATCCCCCGCTCCCTGGCACCCAGCAGCCTCCCACAGGGCAGGGGAAAGGGAAATCATCGTTTTCCTTCCAGCAAAATGAGGCAGTTCCTCAATATTATCCCACTGGACTGGTGTGTGGGAGCATGGGCGCATAGTGAGGCAACAGACRCTCTCAAGGAGGGAGGATTCTTCCCCTTTAAAATTCCTGAGGAAAGTTGGGTTTGCTAATGCTCAGAGTCTTGCTGAAAGTCTCATGTTTTGTATTCCGTATCCATTCCTACATAGTAAGATAAATGCTTTGATTAAGCAAGAAATGCTGTGARTTTGGCAGGCCAGTTTTGCCACCCAGTGAAGCCCGACAGAGCCCCTGGGTGCGCAGGACGTGGGCTCAGTTCTTCCCATGGCTGTGTGCAGCAACTGTGCAGGAACGAACAGGTTTTCCCATTTAATCCTGTCTTCCTTCCACTGCTCACAAGCAGGGAAAGATACATCATCAGAACTGCATCAGTCCTGAGCATAATCCAGCCTTTCTCGTCGGGCTTGTAGGAATTGCATGGTGAGCTGCAAAGGCAGGAAGCCTGCAGGCCGTTGAGGATAGGGAAGTAGCTACACATTTCTAGGACCTCCATAGCAGGCATCACTTCTAATATACGAACCCATTTGTAAGAGATGCATAAGGGCAGTAGTATCAGGAGTGGCATTTTTGTTGTTGACAGTGAAGCAGAGCCGGAGGAGTCAGAACACGCTGCCCACGAGGGGTGCTCAGCAATGCAGTCACCTCCTGGTGACCACTGCCTTGCAGAGGTGGAAGGTGGTGTGTGCAGTTACCAGAGTGCCTGAAAACATTCCTTTTTGATTCTCATCCCTTTTTTTCCCGCATACCTTTAATCCATTTTCCTTAATATCTTGTTGCCAACAGGTTAATGATCCTGCTATGAGGGGAGGCAATCTTTTTCCAAACCAGCTGCCTGGAATGGATATGATAAAGCAGGACGGAGATGCAACACGGGTAAGCAGTGACATATTCAGGCACAAAGAGGGAACTGAGCATCAGCATAGTGTGGGCCAGCATGGATGCAGTATGTTTTTACTTCCAAAGTTAAAAGTGCCCAGGGTGCTAGTAATTTTATTTAAAATAACATAACTTCACCGTTTTTAAATATTTTTTATTCATCTTTTGGTGACATCTCTAAGTTCCTTATGATTTATACTTCCAGGTGCCTAACCCATTTGGTGGTTTGTCCTGTCTAAGTGGTTTTCCACTGTTCATGACATTTATACCTAGGGCTCCAATTTTATGAATTACCTTATTTATTGCTTTCTGTACCAGGCTCGTTCTGAGGAGGGTAGTAATGCTGAGCAAATCAGCACACAAAATGACTCCCACTCATGGAGCAGTTCACGGTAGCGCAGGTCAGGAATGAATTGTGTTCCAGAGGGTAACAGTATTACAGGAAATAAAAGGAAAGCAGCTGTGGAGTTGCTTGCATCTGGCCAGGTGTATGAGGTGATTTTCATTTGCCCTGAGCCCCGTGGAAGGTTTTTATGGAAGATAAACCTGTATTTGGTGGAATGTGTCACATTAACCCGGTGCTCCGGACAGCCGGTGCCCTGGGCAGCGGAGGAGGGTGTTTTGTGCCCGGGTCCGGGCTGGAGGCCCCATCCAGCGGCCGCTGCGCCGCGTCCCAACGCGGCCACTTCTCAGCATCCCAGAGAGGCTGGGCCTGGAAGGGACCCTGGAGAGCACCTAGTCCAACCCCTGCTCCCGTAGGGACACCCAGAGCACGCGGCACAGGGCGGCATCCAGGTGGGTTTGGAAGATCTCCAGAGAAGGAGACTCCACAGCCTCCCTGGGCAGCCTGTGCCAGGGCTCTGGCACCTTCTCAGTGGAGAGCTTCTTCCTCACCTGGAGATGGAGCTTCCCGTGTTTCYGTTTGTTCCCGTCCCCCCTTCCCGGCCGTGCCTCCAGGAAGGAGCGCAGCAAGACCTGCGGATGCCAGGCACTACTAACTGTTACTAGAAACTATTGTATTAGCAGTATTGTATTACTAGTAATATAGTTACCAGCAGCAGAAGAAAAAGATCTGACTGAGAAAGCCCCTGAGGGAAACTGCAGTTATTTCAGTTACCGAAATGTCTCGCGCTCTGTGCAAACAGCGCTCTGAAAATGATGAGAACGGGCAGATCTAACCTGTTAGTTCTGCAGCAGTTACTCTGTAACGTCCTTTGCATCGTTATTTCCTCTCTTCTCTTTGTATGTAGCATTGAAATCAGAAAGATGGCATTTAATACAAAAAAAAAAATACTCAAAAACTGAATCCAGTAGCATAAATTTAAAGTTTTTCTGCTGTTAGGAAAATGAAAATTGAATAATAGGAGAAAGTCAAATATATTGAGATTAGTGCAAGCAAAAGGCAATAAGTACTGACCAAGATGTAGTCTAATATGTATTTTATTGTATTTTTTACACTTACATGTATTTTAAACTCCCTGGAGGACAGTTCTTTTCAGTGCCTCAGGGATTCACATCAGAGGTGCCTCAAGCAGTGGAGGTTTCTGTGAATGGAGAAACTTTTCTGCAACCTTCTCACAGTCACTTTGATGAGAAGAAGATGCAGTATGTCCTCTTTCAGCCGATGCATGCCAAGGAATTATTAGTTTCTTAATGCATTCCTCATGCTGAAAAATTCCTCATATAAAATAGGAGTCAGACTAGCGGAGAAGAAGGCACAGGGTACCACTGAGGAAAGAAAGGAGAGGCCTGGGGCATGTGAAAAAGAAGAGAAAAGAAAGGAAAAAGAGAGAAGAGAAAAAAAGAAAAAGGCAGGAGAGAAGTGAGAGAGGAGAGTTGTAAGGGCAGGAGGAAGCCGAGGGGCAGGACTGGGCTCAGTGAAGTGTCCTGGAGGTGAAGAGGCTGCCGAGGGTTGAGGTGAAAGCAGTGGCCTCTGTGCCGTGACAGCCAAATGCCAGCAGCAGGGACGCACTTGGAATAACCATTAAAAAGCAGCTGAAACAGCCCGAGCTGTTTTGCAAGACTTASCCCTGTTACACCCTGTGTAGGACAGATTTTAGTGTCACGCCGCTGACACAGCTCTGATGCTGCCCAAGAAAGGTCGGGCAGCCCAGGGTTGAGATGAGCCTCTCCCAGGCCGTATCGCTCCGCCTCTCTGTGGAGCCTACAAACGGTAGATGATCCAGAGCTTTTATAATATCCAGGATAAGCGGAATGAGACGAGGACCTGAGGATGGAGGGCAACAAACGCATGGGTTCCATGAGGACGAGTGGGGATCGGTGTGCACGGGGGGAGCCCTGGCTTTGCAAACTGGCTTCAAGCAGCACGTTGGGTGGCTGGAAAGGGGCCTCTTGGAAAGGGGCCTCTTGGAGTCGGTCCCGCGTCGTGGCCCCGGCTGGACGCGCTCACCCCTCTCCGCCCTTCTCTCTCTGCAGAAATACTGCTGACCCCGAGGGCTCTGCTTGCTCCTTCCCCGGGCGCGCGGCCCCGGCCTTGGCCGCCCCTTTGGAGAGCCGCGTGGGAGCGCGCGACGCGGCGCCGCCGCCGCCGGCAGCGCCCGGCTCTTCCCGGCGGGAGCCCGCGCGGAGCGGAGCGGGCGGCCTCTCCCGCCGCGGGCCGGAGCCCGCGCGCAGGCCCCTGCCCAGCCCGTTCGCTGCATTCACCTTAGTGCAACTTAGATCTCTCCTGCGAAGTAAATGTTGACAGGCAGTTGTCCTAAACCATGTCAGATTGAATGTATTTAAATGTATGTATTTAAGGAAAAAAAAAAAAAACAGCAGCAACAACAAAGCAACCATGCTCTTGTTCTGTTCCTGTTTAGTTTTAGACCTCGTTTTGTTTTGTTCTGTATTTTCGCTTTGTTTTCCCTGGCTACTCAGTCTGGTGCAAAGGAGTCAGTTCCATCCGGCAACTGGYGTTTTAAACTCGAGGCCTGCGTTTGGGGGCGCACAGGAGGCCCGGAGGAGGCTTCGGAAGCAGCGTCTGGTACATGTAGACCTCTAAACAGAGAATATCTGTCATTGGCGACAAGTCGGAGAAGGTGGACCTACGGAGAAGACCAATTTTGAGTGGGGTGGAAGTTGTARAACGCATGAAAATTACCCCAGGAGAGGGCTGCTTATAAGGGATGTCTCGGTTTTCCAGTAACRTTTTTAATGCAAATCATGAATCCAAAAATAGAAGCTTGTTACATTGCTATTTAATTGAATTCTTAAGAATTGGTAAATGCTGATTTTTCACCTGCCTCTCCTGACCTCTCCCCACCTCCTTTTCCGGCGGAGGGGAAGGGCAGGTGGGGTCTTCAGCCCCTGCAAGTCCCCGGTGGCTGCAGAGCAGAATTCCCGGGAGTTGCGCGAGCTGACGACGGCAGAGGCACAGCTGGTGCACGGCGTCAAAGAGCTAAAGATACCTGCTTTAAAGCACGGTGACCTCTGGTTCCCATCGCCCTAACCGGGAAGAGAACGATTCCTGTACCACCTATAGCAGATATCACTACAGGCTTCACCACTCTCGTGTGGTTGTAGTTACTTTAAAGCAGCGTGGGCTACGAGGAAGTTTTGTAAGGTACATAAAATCCAGTTTATATGTAAACGAGCAATAATTTAAGTTGAAAACTTAAGTGTTTTACTTGTATAATTTTTGTGAGATATACATGTTGTGAAGTTGATTCCAAATGAGGTACTTCAGTATTAAATTAGATATCTTCTTAGCCGTGTGTGTCTCCTGGGGAAGTGTTTTGTAAAGGATCACAATGCCTTGATTAGACCTAATTTGTAGGCTTGAGACTTCTTCTTTTCTAAACCTCGTGATTCTGCTCATAATGTCATTTATCTAACCTAATATTATATGCAGCCACTGTAGGAACCAGTTCTTGATTTTTGTATGTTTATATTCTTTCGTAACGAATCTTAGAGAAACTGTTACCAAGCAGGCCACTGTTAGGGTGGTTTTTTTCTTCTTGCCCACTGTGGTTGGAGTAATCTTTTACTAAACTGACATCAGTTTCTGAGGACTTGGAATACTAAGAAACTGATGACGTTTTTGACCTCTTTTCTTTCCTCTTAACCCCCAATCTTCCCACTTCCTAGCCTGAACACGCAATTGTGGACGTCGCATAAAGCGCAACGTGTTTTGGAACGTCTCCTCAGCCATGCCCTTGGCTGTGCTTCATTGCCACTCGATTATTCGGGTTGTTTCCAGGTGGGAGTTAAATAAAATRGCTGTTAGTCTGTGTTGGGGGCTGAGGAGAACACCGTGAGGCTGCTCTGGAAGAGGCTCGTTTCTGTAGGAGGCTGTGGATGCAAAATCCAGGGCTCGGGCTAGGAAGGGCAGTGCCCAGGCCCCTGCAGAGACGGCGCTGCCGACAGCACCGCGCTATTATCCATCCCAAAAAGGAGTCTCAGTCACCGGAGCCATCCTGCTGGGCGCGGGTGGAAACCGGAGTGACCCTCGTCCCCGAGCTCCCCAGCCCCATGGATGCGGTGGCGTCTGTACTAAACACACGCCACCTGCCCCGGGGCCACCTATTTATGTAAGAAATGTATGAATTTGGAGCAATTGCCTTCAACACAAAAGTGTAAACGAGTTCTTGGATAATTTCATCGGTATTATGTTCTTTTCCAGTGCTTAATCATAACCTCTCGAGGTCATTCTCTCTCACAGTGGACATAATAGTTTAGATGTGTTGTGTTCCGTGGCAGTCCTGCAGCGCCCGGCACCCGTGGTGATCCTGCCGCTTCTTCACCCAGCGCCGTTTCGCAAGGAAAGGGCTTGTTCCCAGCCCTTCGACTCAGCTGGGGTTCGTGCTGATTTTAGTTGTCTTCTAAAAACCGAAAAAGAAAGGTGAGTGAAGGAATCTTCTGATCATATTGATCGCTATAGAAAAAAAAATGAATGAGAAAGGAAAAAAAAAAAAAAAGCCAAATCAATTCCCTTCATTATCAGTATTTTTCATCCTGTATACAGTAAATTTGTCAGAGAAAGTACTTGGGTTTTGTTTAACAGAACAATTAATCAGTGTTCTACTTAACATGACTAAATGTGAAAGGCGCATAATGTGAAAAATAAGCATATATACATGGTCCTGCGACCTGTTTGAGTGTTCATGTAATGTGGTAAGTTTAAGAAGTGAAGTGAGCTGTTTTGCTACAATGAAATAATTTGTACTCGGTCTTTAAAATATTGTCCCACACCGGTATCCCTTTGGGCCTGTATTAATTGAAAGCAATGTTTTTGCAGTTTATACAATACATTTTTTAATCTTTGTTTAAAAATGGAATTCATATGGGCTTAACAGAGGAAAGGGGTGGCACAGCTCCACTTGCAGAACCCAAAGATACACAATCAGTTTTGAAATGCAACTTAAGCCATTAATTGTTGGTGTGAATTTAAAAGTTTTCTAGTATTTGTATGGTAGTATGCTGCCTAAGAGCAAAAGCATTCTCTGCACAAAAGAAAAATTACTGTAGTGGCTTTGATTTTAATTAGAATTTTCTCCCTGGTGTTTCTTTGTAGACTAAAACAAACTCTTTTAAGTTTCTTACTACAGGTAAAAGCTATGTGCAAGAACCTCAAAATGCTAAAATCTAGCATAATGCCTTAGATCTGTTTTTAAGTCTTGTATATTCCTACATAGCTGTCTGATGTATTATATTTGTATAGTGAATTGTGTACAATTTTGGAATAAGTGCATCATCACTTAATCTTTATGTTGTTCAATAGGGATGATGGACACATTTCTTCAAGCATTTACTGTCATTTAATTTTTCCTTATGTCGTTTGTGGGTTTTATTTGTACAGTTCATCATGAAGTTGCATCTGAGATGTGTGTATATGAAAAGATTATACAAGGGTAAAATTAAGCAATATATAAACTATGGTTCTTCAGGAGAAAGCTTACAGTGTTTCAGGTTGTGATTTATTTTCAAAACGGAGTTGACTCTGAACATCACTTTGTTCACCTGCATTGATGTTTGTATTTCTAGTGTGAGCAGTTTATGCAAAGGTAGATATATTCAGAGAAATTTTAAATACATTTATGCAAGTTAATATTGCTTTGCTGATGCTATTTGCTTATTTGATGTTAAATAATGCTATTGTAAATAAAGAATTCTGTTGTTATTGCATCATTTAATAAATTTTAATGCCTTCGGGTTTTACATGGCTTTAGAGATTTGAACGTGTTTCTGTCGTGTCTTCATTTATTCTCCTGTAAAGGTGGGGTGCTGGAGAAGAGGTCAGTCTTCGGGTGCTAGAAAGAAGAAGGGCTCTTCCTTTTGAAAAATGCTTTTGGGGAAAAAAAAAGAATATCCAACTGTTATTCCTGAAAGCTTTTTATCTTCATAATCCCACGCTAGTTGGTAATTTGACTACCTAGTTTAATTTGGAATCAGTTCAYTATCACTTCATTTTACCTGTTGCAGTCGGCACCCGGTGAGAATCCTTCGTGCCGGCTCGGGAGCCTCCGGGCCCCGTGGGGAAGGGCCGGCGCTTCTCCTTATGCCCAACAGCTCAAGTAGGACGGGGGAAGGAAATGAGCGGTCAAATTAAAAAATACGGAGTATTTTTATTTTATTTTTTAAAATAAAGTATAAAGATAAAAAATATAAAGACTACAGGAATGCTGCTTTATCAGAATGGACCTCTGCTCTCTCTAGTAAATAGGGAGAAGGGGGACGGAAAGCTACACTTAATTAATATTAAAAAAAAAAAGAAACTCCAAGTAATTGTTATTTTGAAGACCTCCCCCAAATGATGTCCTTTCACTATTCCTGCTAAAAAGGCAAAGCCTGCACTGCAGTTCTCATGGTTTGGCTTTGGCAAAATAATCCTTGCATGTGCCAAAAAATATATACAAATAATAATAAAAATAAACCAGCAAGGTAAGGGAAGTGTGGAAGGGGACGTTGCTTCCCAAAGTCAGAAACAGCAGTAGGGAAACAAGCACRACTGCCGCCTCGCCATGGATTCATTTGGAGAGGAAAGGAGAGGCCTTGAATTTTACACAGGGGCATTAACTAGAACTTGGGGCAGAGATGGGAACGAGGATGGGAACGAGGAACAAGCGCCAGTAACTTCCCATGTAAGTCCCGAAAGGAGGACGTTTCCCTGCGGAACCGGCTGGCTCCAGACCACACGGGGACAGCCCAGGGATCACAGCGCTTCCCGAGCTCCRGGCTCGCTGCTTGTCCCTCTTCCCCGCTCGCTCCTAGAGGAAGAGAGCTGGGAGCCCTAGTCTGGAGGTTGGCTGGATGATGGAGAGGGAAGGCTTGTGGACGTGTCGGGATAAGTGTATCCCGTAGGCACGTGTGGGATGGGAGGAGAGGCAGAGCGGGAGCGGCAGCGGGAGGGTGTTGGGAGAGGTGAGGAGCCGGGCAGCACTTGGGGTGCGATTCCTTGATCCAGAATCCTGCTCAATCCAGCATATCCCCCCGGGTAAGGCCACTTGCAGGCAGTGACTGCAAGCAGCCTGCAGCCCACGCTCCATGATTCAATGTGGAATTCCCACATTCATGTGGAAAAGGACAGTACCAACCACCACCAACAGCCCACAGGGGGACCATGRCTGAGAGCACCGTTACTGCCTTGTAGCAGCTCCAAAAGTCCTAATAAAGCCCTAAGGGAAACGACACCCCGCTGCAACAGCTCTGGGCTGCCTTCCAGGGATTTCCCTTTCCCAAGGGAATGCCAGAGCGAGGTTTTCCTCTTGGTTTTCCCTCCTGAGCTGCAGGGGCGCTCCACATGTGAAGGTGCCCATGCCATGTGGGAGCTGCACGTGCTCCTACAAAGTTAGCTATTGTGGCCTGCAGAAGAGACGAGCTCTGCCTATTTGGCGAGGCTGGAAAAGGACCTTGGAATTTGCTCCTAAAATTGGGCTGTGTTTTTATTGCGACCACTGACAAGGATTCCCGAGCAGGACAGAGCCGCATCCCCACTCTGCTCCCTATGGGCTGGCTGGGGCTGGAGCACCCCACTCCTCCACCCCCCCGGGCTGTTTGGAGAGCCAAATTCCCAGTCATTCCCAGAGAAAGGGCCATCAGGAGGGCGCTGATCACCTTTCCTCCGGAGGAGTTACAGCAGGGCTCCAGAGAGCCGGGCGGCCAGGGAAGGCTTCGGGGCTAAACACAAATAAATAAAACAAAGGGCTAAATACACACCTGGGATGAGTGGGAGCCACCTGTGCAGACCTAGGGGAGAGGGAAACCTTTCCAAAGGGTTTTCCTTACCCGTGCAGATAGAGCTGCTGCAAAGCAGCCACTTCTGGTCTCATAGTTTCTCCCAGAGGTGTTTTGGTTTGGGTTTTTTTTTTTTTTTTTTTTTTTTTTGGGAAACTGAGCACAAACTGAATCATATTGTCTGCTGCAAAAAAAGTCATCCAATCCCATCTTTATCTGTCTTTTTTTTTCAGCAAATAGATTTGACCGCTTAGAGTAATTTAACCTGGAACAAACTCCCACAGTGGGAATCCCAGGATGCTGCCTAGAGAACAGCTGTACGGGTGGCGCAGGCCTCTGGGTCAGCAGGCTCACGGCAACAGGACTGTCTCATTTCCCTCCGCGTAGCCGGCCAGGCTGGAGCGGGGTCAGAGGAACCCAATTAAACCAGCGAGGAGAACACGAGGACCCCACAGCCCGTTTCTTCCCACGTCTCCCGATTCCCCGGGCACGCCGGTGCTCCGCATGCCGCCTTCCCTCTGGCGCGTGGCCGGAGGGCCGGGATTATCTGCGGCCTYGGGCAGGCCGGTCCTGTGCAGGCGCTCCGCTCTGCCGCCCGTGCTGCCGCTGCAGCCATGGAAGCACGTGAAGGTGCCTTCCCGGCTGCACTTCCTAGCGCACCGCAGAGCCCGCTCTGCCYTCCTGAAGATAACAGGGATGGGGAACACCGCCAGGCTGCCAGGAGGAGGTGGAGGTTTGGGGGCCCCCGCACTGCCCCTGCACACAATGCACGGATGCTCCCGCTCCAGCGCGGGGACCAGCCTGAGGAAAGGGGGTGCGGGAGCCTGGAGGGGCTCGRGGCGCCTCGCACGTGTCGCCTCCTTGGGCTTGTGCCGCCAAGGGGACCCTCGGGACAGCGCCGGCGGAGCGGGGCCGCTCGCACACCCGGCCCTGGGGCCCTGCCGCTCCTCCCAGGTCTCCTTTGACAGCAATTCCCGTCCCCTGGAAGGGACAGGAGCCCAGGAAAGAGAAGGAGAAGCCCCGTTGCAGCGCGGGGAGGCGGCCCTGCGGCAGCGCTCAGGGACAAGCCCCACGTACGGGCCGGGGCGCTGAGYCCGGGGCCGGRGGCGAGGAGGAGGCCGAGGAGGGGCCGGCACCGAGCGCCCCCCCCAATCCCCGAGCGCTCCGCCCCGGGGCTGGGGCGCCCGTCGGGGCAGCCCCCGAGGCCGCCGTCCGACCCCCTCCCCGTCCATCCGTCCGTCCCCTCCTCGAGGGCTGCGTGACCCCCGGGGCCGCCCCCCCACACACCCCCGGCCCGTCCTCCCCATAAACGCGCGGGGGGCGGGCGTGCCCCGACGGCGCCGGGCGCGGAGGCTGCGCGGCCGCCCGCGCGCCCAGGTGCGCTGCCTGCGCCCGGGGCCGCCATGTCGCTGTCGCTGCCCATGTCGCTGTCGCTGCCGGGCGGGCCGGGCCCCGCCGAGGGCGGCGAGGCGCTCGGGCTGAGCCCCCCGGGCCTCCCCGCTTACTACCCGCCCTTCCTGCCGCCCGCGCCCTACTTGGAGGCGCCCGCCGAGCTCCTGCGGCCGCTGGGCGCCCTCCTGGCCGCCTCGCCGCCCCTGGCG